TGTTATTCACTGAATTTATCTTTGTTGAACTATTAATATGATATTTAGCTGGAAAAGTGTGTGCTGGATTAGATTAGGGTACATTTAAAGAAGTTACAGTGCTTTTGTTGTGAAATTCTGACAGTGGAAATTTGATGTTGGAGTGTTATTCACTGAATTTATCTTTGTTGAACTATTAATATGATATTTAGCTGGAAAAGTGTGTGCTGGATTAGATTAGGGTACATTTAAAGAAGTTACAGTGCTTTTGTTGTGAAATTCTGACAGTGGAAATTTGATTGTTATTCACTGAATTTATCTTTGTTGAACTATTAATATGATATTTAGCTGGAAAAGTGTGTGCTGGATTAGATTAGGGTACATTTAAAGAAGTTACAGTGCTTTTGTTGTGAAATTCTGACAGTGGAAATTTGATGTTGGAGTAATTTAGGAACGAGGAGTTAGGATATGCCATGTTCTACGTTTGGTTAGCTGTTTATGAACTTGTTTTTTGCATTGCACTGCTTCATCTTGACTCTACTAGTTCCATCCACTTCTTCTATGTTGAACCTGATATATTGGTGGTCATCAAGCTTTTATCTTTTAGCTATTTTTCCTAGAAAAAACCTTTGGCTTTCAATTTATACATAAACCACCTTGAAATTCTATTCTGTTGCAATCAACCACCTTAACTCACTTTTAAATCAAATTTTCTCTGGTTTTGTTGTAATGATTAATTGTTAAATACAATGTTTAAATAAGCGGAAGCGCAAAGCGAAGTGCTAGACCCTTTGATGGAGTGAGATGTAAGCTTCAAGAGGCGTAAGCTTCAAGGGTTTAGATATTTTAATTTAAAATTTATAAAAGTTATGAACATATAATATATAGTGGTATAATAATTTACAAATATCTACATTCATGCACTGATTAGTAAATAAGAATTAAATATGTGAAGTATATTTTATTTACACTCGCATGGTCATTTTGAAAATACATAGGGGCATTTTAATGTTAGTCAAAAAATCATTTTATATCCTCCTATCTTGTCTAAAGCGTGCGCTTTAGAAGAAAAGCACTTTGTGAAGTGCGAAGCACACACTTCAATTATGCTTTAAGCAATTAGGCGTAAGCTTCAAGAGATAAATAGCTTCACTCTTTTTGAAGCATTTACCTATCAAGAAGTTGCGAAGCGAGATTTTGAAAAGCTTTTTCAAACATTGGTTAAATATCAAATATATTCGAGAGATGATCCTTAACGGAGGTTTGATAGGGTCAGTTACCGAAAAAACTTAACTGAAAGGTGGGCCCAGATGGTTGATTGCAATGAAAACCTTTTTGATGGTGGTTTTTGTATAGTTTATGGAATGACCCCATTGTAAAGGTGATTTCTGGGAAAAGTCCTTATCTTTTTTTACTTTGATTATCCCTTCTCCTTGGGCAGCTATTGTTATTTACCATAGCTGTAGGCAGTTAGAGTGTGACGTGCATTTCCCATTTGGTTGGTAATTTCTCATTAAACATCTGCTTTGCATCATGGTTTAAATTTTTGTTTGGTCTTGTTTTGCCAAAAAGTAATGCTTGTACTACTAAGTTTTTGGTACGATTATTTTACTCAAATGAATCACAAAAGGTGGGAGAGGATCCTCTAGTCTGTGTTGGAATCGACGATGAAAAAAGAGATCCACCTTATTGTTATAATAGTAGTATTAATATATTAATAGTGTAGTTTAATTAGCATTACTCTTTGTTGAAAATTTTTGACATGAAAGTAACCAGACTGTCAATAGGTCTTATGTTGTTGGATAGTCATTTATGTTTGAAACTAAACAACCAGTGCTTGCATTCAACTAATTAGAATGAAACTCCTAAACATGGTCCAGAGAGGGGGCTGTATTGTCAGTCTATGTAATTTACAGTGCAGGCTGCCTCACTTGAGAAATAATCTTGTCTTTAACCTTCATCACTTATCAATGTTACATTAAACGCTGGGCGCTTCTAGGCGTCGGACTTGGCGCCCAGCGCTTAGTCGCCTAGTCAGGCGCCTAAGCGGTTTCTGGACGTTTTTTTTATTTCTTCATTTTAGTGATGATCGATGAGGTTTTGCTGAAGGGCGGAGGAGGTAGTGGAGATGTTCATATTTGGAGGTTAATGGAGTTTGGAGGACGTGTAGGCTACGACACATAAAATCACAATCAAGACCTACAAGGTACAATCCAATCCACGTAAGCAGACAATGCTCCCCTAAACGCTCGTAAAATCTAGGTGGGCGGCCTAAATACCGCCTAGGCGCTAGTTAGGCGGCCTAGGTACCGCCTAGGCCTAGGTGTACGCCTAAGCGGACTAGGTGAAGGTTTTTTAAAACAGTGTCACTTATCATGGTCACAGTATACTTGACCGCTGTCACTCATGATAGTAATTCTTTTAATAGTTAGCCAGTCATCATGGACCTTTTCATATGTTTCTTTTCCATTTCTTTGTATACCTCATATTTAAAATGTTACTCAGTATCCCCGGTTTTATGGTCTTTTCTTCTTCTTCTTTGATTTTTCCTGTCTTAGGGGATGTGTTCAGTCTACCTTTTTGATGCTTTTGGCAAGCATTTGGCTTGTAGGAAAAATATTTCTTACTGCAAATTCCTTTTGAGATCATTCAACAAACTAGCAGATTAGAAACCCTCCATACATTCTAGAGAAGACTATACAAAGACAATAAGCGATAAGATTTGTTTTGGGGGAATTGCCAATAATCTCTGTGTTATGATAGAAGCCTAATAACCGAAAGAAAATCTTATCTTGATATTTGTAATTGTAGAACATTTCATTTCCTTCCATTCTTGAATACATATTGTGTCTGAAAACTTTTTCCCCCATTTGAGGCTTGCAGCAGTTTTCTGCTCATAGTTGGTTAAACCTTGTCAGTAAATGTATAATGTAGGTGTAGTTACATAAAATTGCACTTGTGATTTCAGGGCTACATGATCTGGTCATAGATCCTTGATACTTTGAAGGATTTGTGTCTATGTGTTTTCTTCTCATCATCAGTAATTTTTGGGTCCCAAATGACTGCTGAGTCTTCCTTTCCTTATTCTGAAAGTTCCTTTTTCTCATTCTTGGAAGTTAGTTGCTGTAAGATTGTAAGCGTCAGTATGCTATTGACAACCTTGACGTACTAAGAGAGAAAGGTGCTAGTTGTTGTAGAAAAATGAAGGGAGAGCCAGGGTTTGGACTTTGGAGAGGAAAGGAGTGGTTACAATGTGATGTCTGTATCCTTGTCCATATCTGGCACCTTTCTTGTATTTAAGTGCGTTATAATAGCTGTAGCGTATATCTCATGAGGCATGTGGAAATGAATGTCTACATCTAGTTTAAATTTCTCTTACGCCAGATAATTATATTATCATCTCCATCAATGACAAAATGTATCAGTAAAACTATCCTTCTCACCCCTCTTCCCCATCCCAAAAAAATAATGCACATAATTTTATGAACCATCTATCATCTTATTAAATTAAGTTTGATAACTAATAGATAAGATTTCTTGAAAGCAGCATGGAAGTTGTGACCAATATCATTTTCAGTTGTTTTCTATTTTGATCTTTGTGTGTGACTTTTTCCTCTTGCACTTTTACCTTTGGTGGTTACGAAACAAACCCCACTAATATGCCTGGTTGTCCTTCTGCATCATGAGGTGAATGTTGCATTAGGAAAACCATGCTCTGAAAAAAGATTTTTTTTTTAAATTTTCTGTGTAACTACTACATTTAGTCTTCTTGAGTCTTATCTTGAAATAGTAGTTGTGCATTGATTGTTTGCTTCAGTACTTCACTGCTTATCATGACCTCGTAATCTGTACTCCGAAAAAGGTGGCATCGGCTTTTTACTTTGAAAAAAGGGCCGACGACAAGTGAGTAGTTGAATATATGACAGGCGGCTAGCCGACATAGCTAAAAGGACTAAGCTTAAAGAGGACCATCGACCGAAGAAAAGATATATACGCCAGCTCGAGTGCAAGCTACAGTTCCAGTTGTTCCGGCTATCAGCTACCTTTTTGACTACCGAAAATGGGAGGGCATACTCTAATCCAGTGATCATAGCGGACAAGATTAGTTGAATGACTAGCCAACTTGACATGGATCAAGTTGATGTGTGGTGAACTCTTGCTCAAGATGTTGTAATACATATTCTTCTGTGGGGATTTTATGGGTTTTTTTCCATAGTAGACCACTTTATGATAAAAGGTCCTAGATGATAGCTTTGTTTTGAGTTTATATTTGAAGGTAATAGATATAGTCTTTTTGCTGAAATCAAACTTAATGTCTTGGTTCAAGATGTTGTAATCTAGGTTACCTGGACACTTCATTTAGGTTCCTGTGTGCATGTCCGTATCCATGTCTGACACTCTTGGACACTTCTTTAGTCAATATAAGTACATTGACTCAGACATGTACTCAATTATACAACACGCTTTAATTCAAAAAACTCGTGATACACTTCTTGATATGTATATCGTACACTTCATCTCAAATTTATAGAACTCATTAGACTTGGGATAGGTTCATTTTAGCACGTACCTAGTTCATAAGTATGATTTAAAAAGGTCACTTGGGTATCTAGTTAGAAAACAAGTGGTATATGGATTTTGGTATAAGGATTTTAGTTCTCATAACATGTTCATGAAAAACAAGATCAACCATATATGGTTAATTTGTATGTATATAGTTGTGCCTCCTGTCCGTATCCGCACATGTATGTGTGCAACATAGGTTGTAATACATGTGTGATTCATGAATATATATTTTTCTTACATATTTGGTCAAAACGGCATGCATTTGATTATTCAAGTCTAAATTATCGCCTAATGTTGTTATAATGTGTCAGTATACACATATTCTTGTGACTTCAGTCCAAGTGGCATTTTTATCCTTGCTTGACGAACTTGCTGCTATTCTCTGAGGTAAATATGGACACTTAATGTGTTTGAATTGTGAAATTCATTTAGATTTTTGTCACTTGCATTTTTCATGTGGCGCGTGGCAAATTTCATTTGGCAATTTAAAGATTTTTTTTCCACTTCTACTTTTATTTTGAGTGTTGCTGAAAATTCAGATTACTTGATTATTTTCCGTCTAAATGATGAGTGGATTTTCTGTCTTTTGGCCTTCCGCGCCTTCTAGGTTACCAATTGTTTGGCCTTCCGCGCCTTCTAGGTTACCGATTGTTTTCTGCAAGATCGTTTTCCACAGTAGCTTATTATTTAATTTTTATTCCACCTCTTTCTAAAGATAGATGAAGATTGTTTAGTTACATGAAGCATCTGCTTTTATTGACTTGGAATTCTTTTTATTTACTAGTTTGTAACAGATGCTGCTAATAATTCATTTCTTTCTTAATCTTACTGGAACTTACAGCTTGATATGACATCAGCTTGATATGAATTTCTTTTTAGCTTAGGATTTTTGAATCCACTATAGTTATGCAGTGCTTTATTGAGTTACCTATTTGAAGTATAGAATGGAGACTGTATGAGGTTCTTTACGTAGCGTACAAGTTAATCTTGTAGATGTTATGCCCGTTATCAGATTTTTTGGAGGATATTCCTCATCGTTTCTGGCATCGGCCCTTGTCTGTTTTTACTCGTACATGAAGTTTGAATTTCTTTTCTGTTATTTCTTCTATTTATTCTAAAATTGCTGTTTGTTTGACAGGACGGCCGCAAGATTCAAGTGGGAGATTGTGCACTTTTTCAGGCTGGCAACGCCCCACCCTTTATTGGAATTATAAGGTGGTTTACAGCAGGCAAGGAGGATTGTCTTAAGTTGTGTGTAAATTGGCTATATCGACCAGCTGACATTAAGCTTGGGAAAGGCATATTACTGGAAGCAGCACCAAATGAAGTATTTTACTCGTTCCACAAGGACGTGATACCTGCTGCTTCATTGCTTCATCCTTGTAAAGTTGCTTTCCTTCGTAAGGGTGTTGAACTTCCTTCAGGGATATCATCATTTGTTTGCAGGCGAGTATATGACATTGCAAACAAGTGTTTATGGTGGTTAACAGACCAGGACTATATCAATGTAAGTTTTATGATGTTGATTGGCTGAAAGGTAGCTGTATTATATTAAAGTTATATCATGACACAGTTTCCTTCTGTCTTTTAATTCTCCAGGAGCGACAAGAAGAAGTAGACCAATTATTGGACAGGTCACGATTAGAAATGCAGGCAGCAGTGCAATCAGGAGGGCGTTCTCCAAAATCATTGAACGGTTCCACATCAACTCAGCAGTTAAAATCTGGTACTGAGAGTGTACAGAATAGTGGCACTGCCTTCCCTTCCCAGGTGAAGGGGAAGAAGAGGGAGAGAGGGGGTGATCAGGGAACTGAACCTATAAAGCGAGAACGTCCTACTAAGCAGGAGGATGGTGAACCTCCTAGTTCTAGATTTGAAGTTATGACGAAAGCCGAGATTGCAAAAATAACAGAAAAAGGAGCTCTAACAACTACAGAAAGTCTTGAGAAGCTGGTGCATCTTATGCAAATTGACAGGACTGAGAAAAAAATTGATCTGGCTGGTAAGATATTGCTTGCAGATGTGATTGCTGCTACTGATAGAATTGAGTGCCTTAGTAGATTTGTTCAGCTTAGAGGTGTGCCTGTTTTGGATGATTGGCTTCAGGAGGCCCACAAAGGGAAAACTGGCGATGGGAGTAGTCCGAAGGATAGTGATAAAGGTGCTGATGTGCTTCTCTTAGCTCTGCTTCGAGCACTTGATAAATTACCAGTAAATCTTAACGCTTTACAGACTTGTAACATTGGCAAGTCTGTGAATCACTTGCGCAGCCATAAAAACCTTGATATCCAGAAGAAAGCCAGGAGCCTTGTTGACGTATGGAAGAAACGAGTTGATGCAGAAATGACAAAGATCAATGATGCAAAGATTGGTGCATCAAACCAGGCTGTAACATGGGCCGGAAAGTCAGGTATTCAAGAAGTTCCTCATGCTGGAGGCCGGCGGCCTGGATCAACTGAAGCAACTAACAAAACTGCTAATACTCAGGCATCCATGTGTAAAACTCTAGTAGGAAAGCCTGGCAACACAGATGCTATTGTGAAGTCGACACCAGTAGCATCAGGTTCTTTGAAGTTGCCATCACCTTCGCATGCATCCCTGTCAATTAACTCGAAGGATTCACCAGGCAAAGGAGCTGGTAATAGTGGAAATTCAGATTTGCCTCTGTCTACAGTGAAAGAGGAGAAGAGCAGCAGTTCCAGTCAGTCTCCAAACAATAGCCAGTCTTGTTCTAGTGATCATGCTAAGACAGGTTCTTTGTGGAAGGAGGATGCTAGGAGCTCGACTGCTGGGTCAATGAGTGCAAGCAAGACTTCTGGCAATTCTCGCCACCGTAGGCCGGGCAATGGGTTCTCGGCCAGCAGTGTTTTTGGAGTTCAGAAGGAAAGTAATCTTACTAAGTCGGTCTCTGTTAACAGGAATACATCTGGGGATAAAGTCTCTAGTCAGTCTGGATTGTCATCTGATAGAGCACATGACATGCCCAGTGTGGAGTATGGCAATAGCCATAGGTTGATTGTTAGGCTTCCTAATCCTAGTCGTAGCCCATCACGAATTGCAAATGGTGGTTCTCTCGAGGATCCCTCAATTGCAGGTAGCAGAACATTCTCTCCTGGTGCTCCTGATAATTGTGATCATATTGATCGAAAAATAAAATTAAAAGGTGATGCTTGTCAGTCTCATATTTCCATGGACGTGAATGCAGAATCACCGGCAGCTGTTCTTGATGAACATAGAAGTGCTGATGAAACAGGGAGGGGGCAAGACGTTTCTAGAGCTCCCTGTTCATCATCTGGTAATGGGGAGAGAGTCTCGTTAATTGAACCCAGATCAAGAAATTCCTTCAGCTCTATAAACGCGCTGGTCGAAAGCTGTGCTAAGTACTGTGAAGCTAGTGCTTCTTTGTCAGCAGGGGATGATATTGGAATCAATCTTCTCGCTAATGTGGCTGCTGGAGAAATCTCTAAATCGGACTTGGCTTCCCCTTCTGCATCTCCTAAAGAGGAACCTTGTGCTGCTAACGACGAGGCTAAGTGTAGATTTTCATGTGAAGATAGTGTGATGCTGAATCATCACCAGTCTGATGAAATTCCAGATGTTGACTCCTCAAAACAAGGGAAGAGTGACAACAAAGTTGTCGCCCCTATTCGGGAAAATAAATTGACAAGTGAGCATATTTTACCCCTTCCTGTTTCCAGTATCAATTTGTATGAAACTGCAGAATTTCTGGTGAGGCCTGAAGCAAAATCAGAAGAAGTATTAACTGACAGATGTTTTTCTGCCTGTACTTCTGCAGGCATAAATGAAGAATTGGAGAGCAGGGTAGCCAATCAGTCAACAGTGGATGATAACAAACCAGGTGATTGCAGTGATGAAAAGATTGCAGAAAGCAGTACAAAAGCTTCTGATTTAGTTGGCAACACTTTGGGTGATGGGTATGACAATGACATTCCCGCTACTGATAGGAAACCTGATAGGTTGGTAGCTGAGGAGTTGGTGCCCTCTGCTCCTTCAGTTACTGAGGTGTCTACTGGTGCCACCTTCAAAGACCAGCCACAATCTCCTATTGTGGAAAATGATTCTAAGGATGCTGATAGAATTTGCAGTGATCCTAAACCTTCCTCCATTGCCCATAAGGTTTCTATTTCAGAAATTGCTGATGTGGGCACGATTAAGAAATCAGATAAAGTGGAGGATAATAGCTCAAGTCCTAGTAACAGTGGGAGGAAAGAACAAACTGCTCTTTCTCCTAGAAGCAATGCACAGGCTGAATTAGCTGCAGTTTCTCTTGAGACCTGTTCCCGGGTCAATGAGATTCTAAACAAGAAGAAGGCTCCTGAATCAGGTGGTCGTGAGCCATTGCCAGCTGTTCAAACTGAAGAATCCGAAAAATGTGGTAAACCTATTGCTTCTAAGTCTGGAGCTGAACCAGATAAAAGGGGGGAAATTGCATCTCTTGCTGATGCCTCATCTGCTTTGTTTGCTTCTGAGCCTGATAAAGGGGCAAAGCTTGACTTTGATTTAAATGAGGGTTTCTTGGGAGATGATGAGAACCAGAACGATCATCTCATCTCTCCTGCACTAGTTTGTTCCCATGCAATTCATTTGCCCAGTTTTTCTCCTTTTGCACCTGTTTCTATGTCAAATGGTGTGCCTGCTCCAATCACAGTGGCTGCTCCTGCAAAAGGTCCATTTGTGCCGCCTGAAAACTTATTGAAGAGTAAGGGGGAGCCTGGATGGAAAGGTTCAGCTGCCACCAGTGCGTTCCGTCCAGCAGAACCCCGAAAAATCCTGGAGATGCCTCTCAATACATCTGATATACATTCATCTGATACTTCTGCACTGAAACAGGGACGCCCTCCTCTAGACATTGATCTTAATGTTGCCGACGAAATTGAAGACGGGGCCTCACACAGCTCTCCGCAGACCACTGGCTCTAGCAATCGTGATGCACCCACACGTAGCTCTGGTGGTATAGATCTCGACTTGAATAAAGTGGATGAAAGTGCAGATAATGGGCATTTCTCAGCTAGCACCAGAAGTAGATCAGAAGTCTCACTTATGCCAGTGAAACCAGCATCTGGAGGATTCCCCAATGGGGAGGCGAATATGTTAAGGAATTTTGATCTAAACAATGGACCTGGAACTGATGAAGTCGGTGCAGAGACTCTATTAAAACCTCAGCCTTCAAAGAATAGTAATAACATGCCATTCTTGCCGTCACTCTCTAACCTCAGAATGGGCAATATGGAAATGGGCAATGTTTCATCATGGTACCCCCCTGGTAACTCCTACCCAGCTGTTGCAATACCGTCATTTTTTCCTGATAGAGTAGAGCAGACTTATCCGATAGTTGCAGCTCCTGTATCTCAGAGGATTTTGGGTTCGGTTGCTGGTGATGTTTACAGGAGCCCAGTGCTTTCATCGTCTCCAACCATGGCTTTTTCCCATGCTCCAGCATTCCCGTATGCTGCTGCTAGCTTCCCTTTTGGCACTAGCTTTCCTCTTGCTTCAACTTCTTTCTCAGGTTGCCCTACGACGTATGTTGATTCTTCACTGGCTGCAGCTTCCTGCTTTCCTGCGATTTCTTCTCACTATACGAGGCCATACATGGTGAGCGTTCCTGAAGGAAGCAGCAATGCTGTAAAGTGGGGAAAGCAAGGCCTTGATCTCAATGCAGGTCCAGGAAGTGTAGATGTAGATGTAAAAGAGGATAGATTACTACCTTCAGCATCGTCAAGACAGCTTCCTATTGCCAGTTCGCAAGCATTTCTAGAGGAGCAGGCTAGGATGTATCAGGCATCAGGTGGTGGCATAAAGAGGAAGGAAAGAGAAGGTGGCCCTTGGGACGAGAGATTTTACAAGCAACCCTCATGGCAGTAGAAGAGACCTCAATGGGATGCATTAATCTTTGATGAGTCTCGGGTAAGTATTTTCTTTCTTTTACTAATTGTATCCGGGGTTAATTGCAGTTTGCACCCTCTTCACTGTTAGGGAGCTAGTCAGTTGTTACTCCAACATTTTATTGCGCTTGGAATGAATCTAAGAGTGATTCAATATCAATAAGAGGTGTGCCTGATTGCCTGGGACAGATCGCCTGATGTCAACATAGAGTTATCTCTTTGTTATCCCTAGGGTTGTGTGATCAACCCCCGTAATAAAAATGGAGATCTGTCTGCAACGCAATGACATGTCAGGAGATCTCTCCGCGACACATTGATGTTACATGCGATGTACCAATAATGAGAAGATAACTCCGTTTGGATATCAGGGGATTAAGTGCTAATAAAAAAGTTTTAAGGGTAATAATTGACTAATCTCCAAGTATAATTTACACTTGCATTTACACCATTATGGTGCATACTAATGGTATTGCAACTCATGCTGCAGGACACGGGGCGGGTGTGCACACTTCTCTTCATGGTTGGTCATAATTTAATATAAACAAAGAAAAAAGGGCATGCTTCCCGGTGTTTGCCTTGGGTATGATGTGGGAACACAAGAGGAAATCATACTTTACTGTAATTCTTGTAAATGTTGAGATATCATGCTCTCCTCTGAAATGTTTCATAGTTTCAGCAATTGCCTTGTCCCTTTGATCGTTCCTTCTCTTGTAGATAGTTTTGAGGAGCGACTCAATTGTGAAGAGAGCTGCTTCACGCAGTTTACCAGGTTTAGGCACAATTGTGGATAGACCCCTGCGGTTGTTTAGTTGCAGATAGATTCCTCTGAGTGAATCCTTTTGACTCTTTTGTCCTCACGATGGCCGTTTGTTAGAAAAACAGACTTCTCTTTCACCTGGGAGAGAAGAGGCAAAATTTCACTCCTGGTGTATCTGTAATAGAACCACAAGGGGGTCATGATTAACCCAATATTAAAATATTGGTTCAGAATTATATAATTTATGAATTGGAAATATTCACGAAGGATTTTTTTGATTTAAAAAAAATACTTTCATTTGATTATTTTTTTGTTGCGTTTAATGGTATTAAAGTTAATAACTGCAATTATTACTTCAAGGTAATGACACAGATATTCGTAATTTTGATGTTTAGTAGAAGCTTCTGAAAATTAGAATATAATAAAAACAAATAAAGACGTAGCATGATGTTATAATAACATGAACTAACATGAATTATGTTTTAAACATTTGACTCATTTACTATACAAATTCATTTGAGAGAATCAGAGGGGGAATAATTTCAGCCGGTTGAGGAGCTTTGGTGATTTGCTGTCATGGGTTGCAACATGTCGATTGCTTGCTACTTGAGAGTCTCATTTCATTTCACTGCGGATCGCATGCGATCACCTTTCTGAGCCATAAAATAGGGGCCTTGGCGTCTAAGTATAAAATATTGGACTTCCAAATTCACTACACCCTTCCTTCTGGTCCTTTTCCCAGTTTCATATGTTTGTTTTTATTTGACTGTGTCTGTATCACGTAGTCAAATTGAAGTTTTACAAGTTCAAACTACCCAAATTAACTTGGCTTACATCATCTTAGCACGTGGGCAGGGCACCACCATTTTACCTTCGTTTTCTCTTTCAAGCAAACCAATGAGACCGCCACGGACAATGACACGAAGGAAAGAAAAGGAAACGGCACTTGCCTGTGACCTACTAATTTCTTTCGTTTTCAGGCTCCGTGACGCTTTTGACAGTCTGTGATCATGTGAATCATTCCTTTTCCTCTCTCTCTCTTCCTTTCTACGCTTTGTCCGTCTCCTTCACCCACGTCCCATTCCTCACCTGACGCCACCCTTACCATTAAGGAAAGGGTAGGGCGAGGTCGGAAATGCGTCATCATGGTGGCTTTTATCAAAGGAGAGAGGTGATATATACTATATATATATATATATATATATATATATATGTTGTTTTAGTTATTTTGGGCTCCACCTCCATGACCCCAATCCGACAAAGACTCCCCCTTTTGGACGTCAAAGCTGATGCGATCAGCTGTGGGAGCTGCATTCAGATCTAGATATGTTGTTTTAGTGGGTGGGGGGCAATTGCTTCGGGAAATGCGCCCCCAAAGTATTGATTGAGATGCTTTCGAGTTTTATTATTTCCTTTTTATTTATTTATTTGCCTTTACTTTCCATTGTTATTTACTTAAACGCACTAGGTTCTATATATAGGTGGGTGCTATTAGGCGTGAGCATAGTTCGGTTCAAACCAAACAAACCGACCGAACTTGCTAATCTGATAACGATAAAATTCCCAACAATAACGTCCTATCCAATTCTAAGGCTTTTCTTTATCTCTAGTTCTCTATCTCTCTTTATTACATATTCGCTTCTTCTACTTTGGACCAATCCACTTTGGAGGTAAGAAACTTTAAAGCATAATATTAATTCTAACATTTTCTTGAATTTTCACCTCGATTGATACATTTTTTGGATTAGACTTTCTTTGGATCAGACTTATAATTTTTATTAATGTCTTAGGGACCCAAATAAGAAACCCAAGGCATGAGACATGTGAGGTGTCCCATCCGGTTGTATGATGCACTGTTCATGAACAGTGCATCATGCAACCGGATGGTGACACCTCACCTGTCCCATGCCTTGGGTCCCTTATTTGGGTCCTTGTAGCAACACCCCTTTAATTCTTTATGTACGTTTTCTCTAAAAAAATTTATGTAATCTTTGGTAGGAATAAGATTTTAATTTCTACATCTAATATTCAGTAACATTTAATAGTTTATGAATTTTAATAAATTGAAGTGTAAGAGACTTCTTTTTTCGTCAACAAATTAGAGGTAAAATTGAATTTGGACATAACATTTGTACCTAAGTAAAAACCGAATAAACCGAACCGAACCGACTTGAATCGTTTCGCTTTGGTTTGAATGATAAACAGTTCTGTTCAGTTTGGCCAAATTTAATCAAAAACCGAACCGACCGACCGATTGCACAGCCCTAGGTCCTACGTTGTCAAGTGGTCTGACTCACCAGCGTTAACACTAGAGATGTAGAATTTGCAAACTCATAGCTTTGTGGGGACCTGATAAAGATCAAGTTGGTTGCGTATATATCTTGCTGTCTAATCTCTTACAATTTTCTCTTCGTCTCTCCTTCCCATCGTTCATTGTCCTTTTTTTTAACTTGCACGGACATGGATGGACTCAACCGTGACGTGCGTACCTGAACCCATGCACAAGGCATGGAAACCATTGTGAGGAGTAGTACGTAGCACAATGCGGAGGTTGCTAAAAGTTGTTATAATCTATATATCACTTTTTTGTTTATTATTTATGTGTAGTCTAAACAGATTTATTAGGTGAAAGTAGTAGTTCCGGGGTGTAAACATGAGCAGGTTTAACGGTTCAGAGGGTAAGGTGAGACTGAAAAATAATCCAGAAGGTTAATTTGCAAATACAATTTAATATTTTACAGGGGCAAACTGGGATCAGACCCTCTATTTTTTTTTCCTGAGTACGGTTAAACAGTGCGATTCAAAGCGTTGTTAGAGTTGTCAGTGGAAAAAGTTCATGAGATTTGCCATTGCAAGCGTAAAAATAAGGGGACCGGATTTATTTAACGATACTACTAAACCGAAGTGCGCTTCAAGTTTGTTGCACCAGGCACAAGAAGCCTAGTAAAGCCCTCCGCATTTTGGGCTTCATTCTTTAATCGGTTTGGTTTTTCTATGGGCCAGCCCAACGGGGCTTCCCGCTTTGGGCTTCATTCTTTATTTAGGTTGGTTTTCCTACCCGACTCAACTAAATTTTGCTCTCCCGTGTGGAAGGGGAGATAGATAGAGCCATAGAGGTAAGTAGACCTGTCCAATTGGCCCCGAGGCCCGGGCCTAACCCGGCCGGCCCTGATCTGGCCCGTGCCCGAGATTGCCTTGGTGATGCCCGGCCCGGCCAGACCCGGCCTAATTAATTTTTTTTATATATATCTTTTTATATATTTTTACATATAATTATATTATGATATGGTTATTAATGTGTATGTGTGTATATATTATGTGTGTGTGTTATATGTAAGTATACTTATATGTGTATATTATAAATTATAGTTATATAAGTGTATATAAGTGCATAAGTATAATTATATATAAGTACATTGGATTTAGTATATATAAAAGTGTATCATATAAGTAAACTGTATAAATGTACTTAAATTAGCATAATGTAAGTATGTAATAAATACATATATAATATATATTTATGTGATTCTCTCTCTCTCTCTCAAGTTATAACTTATAAGTATATACAATTTGTTTATGTATTATATATTTATATATATATATATATATATATATATATATATATAATATATATATATATTATATATATATATATATATATATATATATAGTAAATATATATTTAATATAAGGAGAAGTTGCTAATAAAAACTCCTCATCCAATGGGCTAGGATTCAATCAAACAACAGTCAATAGAGCACATGCATTATTCACCTCACATTAAACAGCACATGCATTATTACATCAACAGATTCCTGGCAATGAATCGTGGATTCACCATGGCAGTGAATCTGGACTTCAGCCTGGGCAGTGATTCGAGATACGTTGAAGGTAGTGAATCTGAATTCACGTGCACGTCTGAGGTAATTATGCATTGTATGTTGACTGGTTTGACCTGAATCCACAGGCCATGGGATTCATCTAGAATTCCAATGGATGAAGGAGGTTTTGTAGTTTTTAGGCTTAAGGGAGGTTTTTGTTAGAGCCCCCCTCTCTCTCTGCTCTCTCATCACTATATATATATATACTATATATATATATATATATATATATATATATATATATATATATATATATATATATAAAGAGAGAGAGAAGAGAGAGAGAGAAAGTAGAGAGAGAGAGAGAGAGAAATATGGTATGCTTGGTGACCGGGAACGCCCATGAAAAAGATTGGTGCCTTGGTAGTGTAGGTGTCGGAAATCTTCCTGCCACTCATTCAATGAGTGTGGGAACAAATTTCACATAAGAAGTGGAGTGGATAGGGATGGTGACACATCAGGCTACCGAAGCACAAGATATTTGTGGCTTGGTACCAATGCATACACATATTTTCATATATATATGTATTATATATAATATATATAGGTATATAGTTATACTATAGTATATATATATATATATATATATTGTATATATATTATATGATATATATGTATATATAGTGTATAGTATATATAATATATATATATATATATATACTATACAATCATATATATATGATACTATGATAATAAGTATATATACTATATATTATATATATAATATATAATATATATATACTATATAATTTTGTTTATTTGTTTATGTATAATATATGAATGACATGAATACTTTGGGCTACTTAGTCTAGTGGTAAAATTTAGGAGTTTGGAAAGGAGGTTAGTGGTTTAAATCCTAGCCACAACATATATATTTAGAGGTCTTTGATTGGGCCTCTTGGGCTCTTTGAATTCTTTGAAATCTACAATTATTTTTAATTTTATTTGTTTCTATAAAATCTATAATTATTTTATATTATTTTATTATTTTAAGTTTTATATTTTTTTATATTTGTAAATTACATAATTATAAATGATTAATAATATATTTTTCTTATCAAAATTGTGTTTATTTTTTGCTTTGTTTTCTTGAAAAATTTAAAAAAACTAAAAAAGTAAAAAAACAAAAAATCCGGCCTAGCCCGCTCAGGCCCGAACCCGGGCTTTGGTTTTGCCCGGCCCGGGCCCGGTTTTCCGGGCCGAGCCGGGCCGGACCGGCCCGGATGGACAGGCCTACCTGAAGGTAATATTGTATAGTTTGTATTTTCTCAAATTTCCCTAGTTTTTTTTATCCTCAAGACTTCAAGAAGGTGAAATATTGCGCTCAGAAGTCGGTGGTTAATTTTCTAGTTTTTTTTTGTGTGTGTTAGTTTGTGTGGTATTGGGGGTTCGTGCAAACACGATTAAATTGAACGATAGTCATTGGATCCTATGGAAAATTACTATGGAAGACCTTTTACGCTGTGATGATTTGTATTTGCCCTTGAAAGGAGTTGGCGCTAATTAAGCCAGAAACTATGACCACGGATGAATGGAATAATTTGGATCAGAAAGCGACCAAGCTTTATTTCGGCGATGGTTGGACGATAGCATTTTCGAGCAGGTCTTAACCGAGAGCTCGACGTATTCCCTTCCTAGACAGTCTTTTTTATTTTTTTTTATTTTTTTGGGTATTCAGTATATCATTAATGATTAACCATCAAACAGAAATTTATAATATGATTTAACAGAAAAAACCTCACTGTGTTCCCATATCCACATTCTCTTGTCCTTTTCATCATTTTTTTTGAGCCTGAAAAACAGGGTATAAGCCCTGTTCATTTTATATATTGCTAAGGTATCTACACTGAGGAATACAACTTCTCTAGAAGTCAGGGAGCACTGAAGGAGAAGTGGGTATGCTAAGGTATCTACACTGAGGAATACAACTTCTCTAGAAGTCAGGGAGCACTGAAGGAGAAGTGGGTAAGGAGCGGACCAATGTCGTCACTGTAGGCGTCTAAAATTGCCTATGAGAGCCCGCACGAAACTCGAAGCAATGAATAGGCGAGTCAAGAAAATTCGCTAATCAGTCAGTGCACGTTAAATCATCTCGTGCGCGTCGGTCAGCTCGTGCGCGTCGGTCAACACACGCACGCCGATCACTCAACGCGTATCGATCAACAAGCAACGCGCGTTCGACGATCGGTCTCGCGGCGAAGCATACATTGCGGGTCACCCAAATCCGACCATCCACTTTGCGGGTCACTTGAATCCGACCCTTCAACCCGTCGGTCACTTAAATCTGACCCGCGTCAGAGTCAAGGCAGAAGATGTTCTACACCTGTTTCGTCGATCCCTGTGAGTTCCGTACCTCCGGCGGGG